CCCCAAAACCCCAAAACCCCAAAACCCCAAAACCCCGCAGTAAATTTTTGTGTTGAAACTTACATTGTTTTTAGAAATTAAATCAATTATTTATGTTTAGTTTATTTTATATAGTAAATATTTTATTGAATTGTGGGGTTTCTTATTCCTGAGCTGCATACTTCATCTAGGGGCTTCTGACATGAATATTACCAAGGTTTATTTATTCTTATTAATGTTTTGGACTATCCAAAGCATAGTTCTTATTAATACTACTATGGCCTCTTCTGTTTCTTTACTGCTGAGGAGAAGGTGAGCTTTCGATCTGCGAGCTCTTGCTGTTATAGTCTTTTAGTTCGTCTTCAATTTACTTTAGTTTTTCCTCATACTTAGCATATTAAAGCTCAAATGCTTTCATGTTCTTCGTCAAACTACCTTTTTTAGTGGTGCTATCAGGAGTTTCTTCATTAACTTTCTAAGTATTTTTATCTGAATATTTATATTGCTAATCCTTTGACTAGTCATTAAGTAATGTTTTTTATTATGGAATTTAGAGAGAAGATTTGATATTTTAGGGTTTATGATCTTGAGATTTAAATTCAAATTCAGGAATTGTGTCTAGCTTATTTATTGAACTTTCGTCGAAGTTTTTAATGAGACCATCAAATTACTCTGTGAAACTATCATTTACATCCATAAAACTAGCATCCCCATCGATTTTTCTTTTTTCTTCTCTTACAATTTTATTCCATTTCATCTCCCAATCCCTTTAGGTAACCAATTTTTTAGATTCATTAAGTGTCTTTTATTATTAGGATGATTAATCCAAGAAAGATGATTCCAAAGGAGCCTAATTAGTTTAATATTTACTTTCAAGCTCTTATTTTTCATCATTTAATTTCTACCACATCATTTCAAATTCGTCTAATACTTAAGTTGATTAAACTTTGGTCAAATTTTTCTTTTGTTTACTATTTTCCTCATTAACTGCCTGTGGATTTTATCTTGGCGATCTTATTTTTTAACTTGAATCACTCTTCACAAGTCTCTTTACTGAATGCTATTTCTCTTATATTGCCTAAATATCTTTTTAAAGCTGTTCATTTTATCTCTACATACATTCTAACTCTTCCACTGTTTCAATGGTCATGCAATGAGTATCCTCATCTATTATTTGAGTTCTTCTCACTTGCATGAACTCTTTCTCAAGAATTTTATCTAGCTAGCCGATATCGAATTCCCATAACCTTGGATACAAAATATTAAGATTTGCAAAAACTACCCTCCATATATCTGATTCTCTCATATCACATACCATTGGATCATAATGTTCACTCCCTATTATTTAGTTTGTCTAATCAGCATCATTATTATCATTAATCACAATTGCATTTGATGAGACTTTGAAATACTTTCTAAATTGTCTGTCAATCTCATCTTATGATTCTTCTAACAAATCATCTTTGTAAATATTTGCAAAGTAAACGTTTATGATCTCTATATTTTCATTGAACCTAAGTTTCTTTCTGTGAGATCTAGAGTTTAGCATTGATTATGATTCTTGGGATGAAGAATAGCTTTCTCTCATCATAGAGTTTCTTTTGTCTTGATTGACTAGGTACTAGCTTAAGTGCTGAATAGTACTAACCTTTTCCTACTAGTTTTACTATTCAAAATTAGACACAATGTTAGATCTAGCTGTGTTGCAAGTCTCTGTATCTATAGGGTTAAAATTAAGTCTACAGGTGCTCATAAAGTTATTTTCCATATAATTTGACTTGTGATTCGAACTACCAATAGAATTGTCTCTTAAAGTTTTTCTAATGCTATTCTCTGTTTTCCTTTAAGTTTGCTCTTAACTGCCTTTTGGTGTGCTTAGATCTTTTTCATTAGTTAATTTCATTCCAGAATCAAATGTGCTAAGTGGTCTGAAATTATTCATACTTTGTCTAGCTGATTAGCAAGGCTATGTCATCAGCTTTTTGCTAGATGACTGAATTTAACTATGAATAGATATTGGAGGTTTGGATGATTTCTTTGCTGATTCAAGCGCTTTCATGCATCTTTCCTACACTTTTTAAGCTATTTATTGCTTGACTGATAATTCATTTTTTATGCCTCCAATATTAATGTTTTCTTTATTGCGCTCCTAATGCGCTCCAATAACCTTGTTGCTTTACTTTATCTTTGGTGGTAGTATTGGATTCCTTATAACCATATTTCCTTGAGGCTGATCATTATGATTGCTCATAAGATTGCTGATCATTCTGACATCTTATTCAATCGATATGTTATTAGATTTTTATTCTGACATATTAATTATGAGGTTCTGATGCAAATTTTAATTAGAGTTGTCTCTTTAAATAATACTGCTGAGATCACTGTGAAATATCCCACTTTCTTGGTTAGAAACATGCTACCCCTTTCTTGTTGAATATTAACGAGAGGGAGTATTCAAGTTTAAAATATTAGTATTGTATTGATTTTTGATAGAATTCTAATCAATATTTATATTGTTATGAGAATTATTTTCCTTGAGAGGCTGAATGAATCTGATTTTATTTAATTTGATTTTCATAGGTGGCTGCTTCATAAGTTCTTACTCCATACTTTAGGATATTTCAAATATTGATTGCTATTCTGGATGCAGCATGTTTAATTCATTTAGTGTATTTATATTCTCTTTATTGCTATAGTCTTCATCTGCCTGATATCTTTGCCTTATATCATTATCATTTCTGTTTGAGTAATACTGTATCTCCTATTGATATTAACTATGCTGCTATTATCTCATAACATCTTCATGCTTTTACTGTAAATTAGGTTCATCTGTAAATTTATTGTTGTCTTAGATAAGCCCTCTCGTAGATTAAGATCTTTGAATTTTAGGTCTAAGATGTAGCATAATATTTCTATTAGATTTGCTTTTCTCAGTGCCCAAACCTGATGGATTATTAGGAAGATTAATCTGATGGTCTAGGCTTTGTAGATTCAACTATAAATTGACACTAGATTATGACTCTTGATTTCTCCTAAAGAAGTTATTATTCATCTTTAAATAAATCTATTTTCAAATTTAAATTTAGAATGTTATTAATCTACCTAAACTGATTTCAACTATATTTGCGGGGTTTTGGGGTTTTGGGGGTTTTGGGGTTTTGGGG